CAGCAGCGGGCTCGGCGCATGCACTTACGGGCGGCGCCGGCTGCGGGACGGCGCGGGCGGCGGCGGGACGGCGCGGGCGCCCTCTCCTCCGTGCCAACGAGTCCCGGGGCGTTTTGGGTGGAAAACGGTGCAATTGCGGTGGGGGCGCCGCGCGTAGTGTGTGTTTTCTCTCAGCTCTCCATATACAAATACTGCCGGGACAATCGCGTATATATTAATATATTAGTCTAGTCTTTTTGGTTAAACTTTAGGCACTGCTTTGGAAGGGGGAAAAAAAAACCCAAAACAAGTTAAAAGGAGTTGAAAACGTTAAAAAAGTAGCGGAGTGAGTAGCAGCAGCTGGACCGCATGCAGAGCAGGAGGGCGGCAGGGTCCGGGCGGGGGCCGCRGCGGCCGGGGGCTCTAGACCGCGCGCAGCGCCGGGACCTGCAGCCCGCAGCGCTGCCCGCYGGCCTCCCGCGCGCAGCCTCCGGGCGGCTGCAACGGGGCTGGCTGCAGCGGCGCAGGCTGCAGCGGCGATGGTGACGGCTGCAATGGTGACTGCAGCTCCAACGGTGACTGCAGGTGCAGTGGTGGCGGCTGCGACGGTGCCTGCAGCTGCAACGGTGCCTGCAGCCACAACGGTGCCTGCAGCTGCGGTGGTGATGGCTGCAATGGCACCTGCTTCACCGGCTCCTGCAGCTGCAACGGTGCCTGCAGCTGCGGTGGTGATGGCTGCAGTGGCGCCTGCTTCACCGGCTCCTGCAGCTGCAATGGCTCCTGCAGCTGCGGTGGTGATGGCTGCAATGGCGCTGGCTTCAACGGCTCCTGCAGCTGCAACGGTGCCTGCAGCTGCGGCGGTGATGGCTGCAATGGCGCTGGCTTCAACGGCTCCTGCAGCTGCAACGGTGACTGCAGCTGCGGTGGTGGTGATGGCTGCAGTGGTGCTGGCCTCAATGGCTCCTGCAGCTGCAATGGTGCCTGCAGCTGCAATGATGAGGGATGCAATGGTGGCGGCTGCAATGGGTCCTGCGGCTGCAGTGGTGCTGGTTGCAATGACGGGGGCTGCAATGGTGCCGGCTCCAACGGCTCCTGCAGCTGCAATGATGAGGGATGCAATGGTGTCGGCTGCAATGGCTCCTGCAGCGGTGCTGGTTGCAA